CTGCTTCTAGGCTTGATAATGCTCGATGTTTATAGTTACTGCTGAAGAATGGTATGGAGAACCAAGGCTGCTGCTTGGTTCTGAAAAATGTCTTATGATCTGGAACCAGAAGGGAGCAGAGGGGTCACACCTGCAACCCTGATGTGTGGAGCAGATCAGACAGGTGACCAAAATTGACCAAACAAAGTGTTCCATCCCATAGGCCTCACACTCAGTATAAATTTGAGCAATCACAAGAGTCAAGCTCTCTTTGTCTATGGCCAGGGTGCTGAGAGGACTCCATCTGTTCATCTGCCTTTGATCCCGATCTGTGTGTGCTTGATGTGTTTATCAACCCATGCTTTCTGCATCCAGCTCCTGTCTGCTGCTGAGTCTAGTCCAGGACTTTTCCAGGGCCCGCCTCGCAGCCCCAGTGGTGATGTGAACGTTATTGGGGGTCAGCGGTAGTGGTTTTGTATATATTTCATTATTTTTCTTTTCATCACTACCGGTTATTTAAGCTGTGTAGTTCAGTTTCCAACCCGTAAGTCAATTTCCCTTATTCTCTCTCCTTTCCCTATCGTGGAGAGTAACAAACAGCATCTGTCAATTTTTTAATTTAAAGTAGAGCTTATTTGTTAAGGCACGATAAGGGACTTGATTTCCAGGCACCATCACAAGTCAGAAAGACACAAGGACATCTACCCTGGCCAAAAGTAGGTGCCCTGTCCTGATAAGCTGAAATGAGACTTCTCTTCTGATCCTTCTCACCAGCTAATTTAGCCCTCTCCTTTTTAAAAACAAAACAAACAACAAACTTCCTGCTCACAATATCCTTCTTAGATGTCCTCCTTCTTGTGCACTCTCTAAGAACCTAAAACCACCAATTCATAATAAGTAATTCTATTCAGCAGCAGAATGCCTGGAAGTAACCTAATCTGTGATTAACTGTTAGCATTTAAGCTCTGCAGTTTGAATATTGACGCTTTTTTTGCTATTTTCAAAATGAGGTGACAGGTCTTCTAACAGGAACATCAGCAAAATGTCAGGAGTCTTACAGGAGTCCCATTAATATTTCTTCTGAACAGATGATATAAATCATTATCTGGAAAATACAAGAAGTTTCACTTAGACTAATAGAAGACTGGACTAGGTAACAAATAATTATGTCTTTGTTTCTAGTGTGTATATGGGCTAATTTTAATCAGTAGGGTAATGTCCTTATCCACTAATACAGTGCTGCATAATGCATAAGCAAAAGCATTTGGGCATGTTAAATATTGTACTAGAAAGCATTCTCTTAAGCATAATATTATCTCTCAGGTCAACCTCACAAAACTACAGCGAGTAACTGTAAATCCAGATACTTTCATTTAACCCAGTGCACAGATTTCTGAGAAGCTAACACTTATAGCAGTTTTCCAGTGTTCAGCAGATGCTACTCTATTTGCTAAACAATATCAGACTGCAAAGTTGCTCTTACTGTTGATAGATCAATAATGACATGGGATAAGTCATTATCTCCGTGGCAACAGAATGGTAACTGTTGGAGGAATATTGCGCATGGTGCTGCTGCAACTCTGACAGGCATGCCTCGGCTTCCTCACCAGCTGCTCTCTCTGCAAGCCTGGTGTGCCCAGAGTACCAACAACCATGGGCACCTCTTGGACTACAGAGGATTAAACCACAACTGTGGTTATGTTGTTCCAGAAGGAGCACATCCTCACAAGGGTCTATTACACTTCAGTTTCATGTGCTTATTTCATTTTTAATTTCTAATGAATCATCACCTCATAGGAATTGCTAGAATGAAATTCAGGAAGGGGAATACTACGAAGTTCTGTTCACAGTGCAACGTATTTTTGAAAGACACTGGAAAAGGCTGGCCAGGGAGGTTATGGAGTCCCCTTCTTTGGAGATATTAAAAATCTGCCTGGTTGTAGTCCTGAGAAATGTGCTCCAGGCAATCCCACTTTAGCAGAGGAGTTGGACTGGATGGTCTCTGGAGGTCCCTTCCAACTCCGTGATTTAGTTGCATTTAAGACTAGAAAGATCTCTGTCGTTTTACTCAATTATCATTTAACTCTACTATGACTCTCCAGGATCTTAAAGTGGCAGAAGTATTCCTGTTAGACTAAAGAGACAAACTAGACCACTGGAGTGTTACACTTAACACTCATTAAATCTCTGTCCCTGTATATCGTACCAGTTCAACAAATAGAAAAACATTTTTGCTTTGCAGAATTTACTGATACTTTTATCTGGCATGAACTGGGTACTGCAGTTTTGTTTTCATATTGCACAACGTTGCACCATGTTAATCACAACATATACATCACAAAACCCAGTAACTTTTCTGTATCTCGACCAACATGACTTTGCCTGATTCCTGATATTCTATTGAAAAATAAACATACTAACACATAAAAGACACAATGTTCATCAATAATGCGTTAACTTTGCCTTTAGATTCCTAATACATTTACTTTCAAATACTGCAGCAACCCTTTTTTTATTCAGAACCTATTCACATGGATGACAAACTGCAAGGTTTCCACAATCCCTTCTGGAATGTGGTCAAACTAAATTTAAATAAAAGGCAACAGAAGTCAAGAACCACCAAACAGCCTTTCAAATGCTAGAGATAAGTTATTCTTGCTTGTAAAGTTCTCACATGAGCAGAACTAGGGTGAAAAAATAATCTTCCTTACAAACGCAAGTAATACTAGTGGCCATTAATACACTGAAAGTCTAGATATCAGAGCTACAATGTAAATTAATACTCAAAAATACACTGTTTTTTTGGGGCAGACTGTGGCTTAGTAAACAGAAAAATTTTTCAACATTTCCTTCTACTCACAGAATGAACCTGGCTGGTGAAGGTGAACTCCATGCTCTGCTCCAAGTTCTTGGAAAGAATCCGGCATCTGCCCAGGAGCTATAATGAAGCTGGCTGCACACAAGGCTGTTTCCAGGACATGTTCCAAATTTAGTGCTTCTCTGGCTGATACTGGGCAGTTCTATGTGTCTTCCAGCACCAAATGAACCAACCCTTGGCACACGCAGCCAGCCAGCCCCATCTTGCTACCACCCCCATCAGCTGTTCCAGCGACAGACCAACCTGTGCAAAGCTACCTGTTATGCAGGTCTCCTCTCCTAGCACTAAAACAAAGCACGTAAAGAACTGCTCGTTCCTCAGCAACACAAACCACTAGCTTCATCTCACTAAAAAGCAACCAACACCAAGTGCATGCACTCACCACCAGCCACAGCCAACGCCGCCAAGGAGCCAGCCCCGCCAGCTGTGCACATGACACCTCCCGTTGCCTCCTCCGCCTGCACACGGCGACAAACGGTGTCCACACCACGGCGTTGCTCGTTTGGGGACACTTGCACCGCACACCTTGGTACCGCTCACCGCCCGAGTTTCATCCAGCACAGCCAGTCCACACCCCAGAGCAGCCCGCCCTCCGCAGCCTCCTTCTCCCCGGGGCCCGTTTAGCCGCTAACGCTGTCCTGACTCCCGACTCGCCCCCCATCCCCAGCTCTACCACCGCCAGCACCCCCAGAGCGCAGCGGCAGGAAAC